ACTTGACTCGGGGATAGGCAATATAAGCTAATGGTTTTTCCAGGGCGGTAAACAAGTTCCAATGCCCAAACCCTATAGTAACTTCATGGCATTAATATTAAGTATATTTGCGCCTTTACGTACCAAACCACAATGTCATTAGGAGGCATGCCATAGTGAAAGGCTCTAGAAACTTTGACCATCTGGTGTTCTTCAATGTGCACTGGCTTAGGATTTTACATGGGCTAACAGTATTTTGCCAGCATCAAAATGTGATTGCCAGAGCTAGAACCGAAGATCCATGGCATTGGTGATGTTTGTCACGTAACATGACAAAGTTTTGATGTTAGAAAAGGTTAGGCCAAGGTCATAAAGCCATTTTTGTGTCAACAAGAAGTCTCATTCTGCAAGACTTTTTCCTCCAGCCCTATACACCACCGAATATTGTCTTTGATAAACTGGATTCGATGACGGCAAGGAAGAATTAGATACTCTTGTTAACTCTATGATGCAGTAGACTCCCTTTACGATAAACTCGAAGGGACTACGTCTTTTCAAGAGTTCAACTTATCAAAAGTGCCCCACAAAATGAAATGCTAACATACCAAGTGCACCCAAATACATTGCTTGAACACACTGAATGGAGTATGCTAATAATGGGGAGGAAAAGAACAAGAAGAGCATTTATTTGGATCAGCTTGATAAAAACTATGCTTTCACGGCGAGTGTTTACACTGATCTAACGAGTACTCGATTTCTTGAGTTCATAATAAGTATGCTTATGAATAAAATGCTACTATATTTTAACAATAAAACAGTAGCCTTACCATATTATGATAATTAGAAAAAGATATCGTCATCAGTTTTGTCAACAGTATCGTGACAGTACGACGCGCAGCCGTTGTGCTATCTCGAAAATGTGCTGATGTTGTCCAACTCTGAGGACCGCCACCAGTACATTGTATATAAACGGCTCACCGTTAAACCTAATGAAGAACAGTTTCTTTGCGGTTTGGTGCTTAGCGTCGCACGCTGAGGAGCATGAGGACGCTGTTTAGACACCCCGCTGCAGGACTTTCCTTCTAATTTTATTTCTTTGCAATCGGTTAGTAAATATTTTACATCATATCCATGACGAAAAGATGTCACAGAGCCGTGGTGGACCCCAGCATAAAACCCTTTCATGTTAAAATTAAGAGAGGATGCGGGTTCTAGAATAGTGAAAATTGGCCAAAAAGTCGATTTTTAGAAAATCGCATCTTTTGACATTTTATATCTGATTGATTTGATTTGTGGAGTTTAACGTCCCAAAACCACCATATGATTATGAGAGACGCCGTAGTGGAGGGCTCTCGAAATTTCGACCACCTGGGGTTCTTTAACCTGCACCCAAATCTGAGTACATGGGCCTACAACGTTTCCGCCTTCATCGGAAATGCAGTCACCACAGCCGGGATTTGATCCCGCGACCTGCGGGTCAGCAGCCGAGTACCTTAGCCACTAGACCACCGTGGCGGGGCTTAAATTTTATATCTCTATGCATGTGTTCTCAAATTGTGAATGCTGAATTCGATCAGTAAATGGGTTAAAATTGGTTATGAGGTTGCCACGGCAGTCAAGAAATGCCTGGCGAAAGGTAACATTTGTTCGAACTTTTTGTGCGCACCGTCGTCGAAGCAGCCCGCCGATCACCGCAATCTTAAGCTCGTTTTGAAGCTGATTTTTTTTTGCACATTTTGCCATTTTTCTAAATGCCGTCACATGCATAGAACGGCTGCCCTTGCCTCTTTTTTGAAGCCCCATTCCCAACCGCTCAGTGGCCGGAGCGCGCCCGCGCCAGGCGAGCCCCCAGTCTCTCGTTTCCCATTGGCTGATGCGACCAAGGCTGCCTGCATTTTTTTTTTTTTCGTGTGTTGTTTGTAGGTCACCGGCTCCTGTTACGCGCATGTTAGTCTGCTTGCCACTTGTGCTAAGCGACCAATGCAACGACTTCCCGTTTTCCCCCTGTATGACTAGAGACGCTTGTCTAAAGAAGAAGACGTGCCAACCGTACAGCAAGAAACGAAGGCACCCGTGGAACGCGCAGCAGAAGAAAGCCAACAATGTGTGGCAGAGTTGGACCGGTGCGGTTGAAGCAGTGCACTCTGTCGACGGCACTCAGCCGCGGGCACATGTCGTGTTTGAAATCGTGCACTCTCCGGAGCCCAGCTGCAGCACCTCTTCAAATTATCACGTGGTCGGATAACCTGGCACTTCTAGCAACATACAGGACTGCATTGACACGGCGTTTTATTCCGTAGAATAGTCTGCAGAGTGTGCCAAGAATGCGGCGAGCTTGAAGGCATCCCTCGCATCGCAGTGCGTGACGGAACGCAAGTTTAAGCTCCTAGATGTTGATCTGGACAATGACGGCAAAGAAAATGGGACAGAATTTGGCATTGTTAATTTGGCGGTGACAGACTCACTATTTCGGCTTGTCGCCTGCCCAGGGTGTGGTGAAAAAAGCGCGACTTTCTTGAAGGCCAAGAAAGAGTACGGGCGGTGTTTGAAGCTCGTCATCACGTGCAGCAGATGTGACTTTTGCGAAGAGCGTTTTTCGTCCCCACGTGTTGCTGACGACACCGACAACAAAATGAGGCCATTCAAAGTGAATTTGTATGCCATGATGGCCATCAATAGCATCGGCAAGGGGGCAATGGCCCTGTCAGACTGTAGAACTCTCATCATAGCAAACAGTGACAATTTCTTGTAAAATAAATATAGCTTGTTTACAACCTGAACATTGTGTAGGTGGGTTGCATATCCTAGGGCAACCTCATTTTTCAATATTTGTGCATTCCTTTCACTTTAAACTGGGTGGACCGACCACAAAGTAAAAAACAAAAATTTCTCCTGCTGTGCCGATGACCATTTCAAAGTTTTGGAGCAAGTTGTGGCCAGTATTCTGGCAGGGTACAGTCATACATTCAGCATGGCCATTATCATAAAACATAGAGCTGAAAAAGTTTCAGAACTATTACCATAGCTTCACTTCAGGAAAAGTCACAGTTGCTGGAAACTTCAAATGCGTTTTTCTCAGTTCATTGTTTTTGCACATTTCACTCGGCCTTACTGGGGGTTTTCCTATCTTATATTTGAGTGAGAGTGACAAAGTTGGGAGAACTCAATAGAACCAACACCACATCAACAAACTTTTCAGATTAACGAATTTTCAAACAATGTCGTGCCGACTGCTAATAGTTTCAGTGTAAAATTATTTCACTACTACGTACTTCAGAACATCGAACTTTTCAGAATAATGAGCACTAATTTAGTTCCGGATTATACTAACAATGCCTCAGTACTATGAACTCGCATTCTGAAATCCGTCGCGCCCACCAGAGCGGTACGCAAGCAGACGACACAGTGAATGGACGCCTTGCGTCTCGGAAGACTCGTGACGGTGTAGAGAAGAAAACAACGAAGACTTTCTTTTCTTTTTGTTAAAAAATGCCGACCCTGCCCGTTTACAAGCGCAGAGGCGACGGGCGAAGGCAACACGGAGAGGGCAAGGTCAGCGAGGCAGAGTGGGAGTTGCGGAGCAGGAAGCATGGGCGTAGAAAACCTGAGACAGCGAGGGAGCAGAAAACGAAACTCGAGGAATTTCTTTTTTAGCTCTTTCTTTTCTTCGGAAGAGGCGATGAGAGCCACGACACTTAAGGTTTTTCTTATCTTTTTCACTTCAACAGGTGCTCTAGGAGGCCGTGTCAGTCCTGTTCATCTCGTTTCAGTGATTACTTATCGTGTTCACAAAGCAAGTTGGCATTTGCACTGAAGTGCTACTACAATGAATTCATTTCTGCTTGCGACAAAGAAGCGGAAGCAGTTTTTGCTAAGCGAGAAAGTGGATAGTCTTAGGCAGCTGGAAGGCAAAAAGCAGGCTGTTGTGGCCAAAGAACTTGGAGTGCAAGTGTCAAAAAAAAAAAAAAAAGCCCATATTTCTTTAAGTAAACGTGCATTTTTTGGTGTTCACTTGTGCATTTGCTTTTTCTCGAGAAAAACGAGTTCAAGAACCCACCGTTGTAAAGGTGAGTCATTTTGGTCGGTGCAAAATAAGTATTTATGGTTAATTTTAAGGCTTTTACTATAACAACCTTTCAAAATAACGAACAAATTGTGGCGCCCCCCTGACGTTCGTTATACTGAGATTTTACTGTATTCGTCTTGAAATGATCCAGGGGGTGATGCTGTTTTCATTTCTCTCAACCACTTTGACAATTGTAATTAAAAATAATTATCAGAGGAAAGTAGAGTAAAAAGTTCTTCAGTAATTCTTCATTTTCTTGCCTATAAAATAACTTCGAATGGAGAAAAATAGCTTCACCCTTTACAGCAACTCTTCAGCATTGGGGTTATGCATTTACTTTCTTGTTTTTCCACGGTGAAATTATGAAAAAGTCCCGCAAAAGATAGGCAATCAATTGAAATTGATACCTTAATATTTCCTGAACCACTTCAGCTATTAAAACACAAATTACAGACTTGAAATCAGCATAAAAACTACCTTAGACCGTGAACTTCAGTTGAGATTGAATCAGAAATAAAAAACAGTTTTTAGAGCCCATGCAGGAGAATGAACCCAGTCAAGTGTATTGAGATAGTGACCTTAGAAAATCACCGATGCTTACCTTCAATCAGCCAGTGAATACATCCTATATTTGGCTCAATGGAGACTGAGTTGCAGATTCGTTGCAACTACAATTTACCTATTGGCAAGACTGAAATGGGCATAAGGTTTTACGTAGACTCAACCACACGCTTCTCTCATGTAAAAGACATGCCCTCAGAAATTATGGTGGCTGGCAAGAACATCAATAAAATACTAAATATCATAATTTGACGCTTATGTTATTTGTAACCTATGACACTCGTCAGTCATCTTTTTCTGTGGTTTACACAGTATATAGACCTTCCATTGAAAGAAAGAGCGAAAAAAGCTGGAAATATTTCATAATTACTCCTTTTCATAAGGCATAACATACCTTGCCTGTGAAGGCGTGCAACAACATGAAGGAAGCTCCGGAGTCTTCTTCAAAGTGTCTGCAGTTTTTGAAAATTCAGGAGATTTTGGCGGATCTGGAGTTTTCAGAAGACGTTTTGCCGTTTTTGATCGATATCTTGAATTGGAGCCATCCCCCAAACTCAAAGCCCTACGGAATCAAAAAAAAAAATAGGAGAAATTATTGGGAGAACTTATGTTTCCAAAACCACAATAAACTTTATGTAACCTTCGGTTGCAACTGCTTTGAAACAATAGGGAGAAGAAACTATTGATACACAAAAATGCTTTGTTCCTCCTACACAAAATGCAAAACTACAGCCTATGGTTGGCATATTAGAACTGCGCAAATGGCCAAATTTCGGGTGCGAAGCAAATTCGAGTATTGAAGTGTGAGTGTGTAATCAAATATTTTTCCAATGCTTTGAATAAAATTCTTGAAAAAAAAAATTGGAGAGGATTACTAAAGATATTCTTATGAGATAGCAGCATGGAAGTGTTCCTTTTCGCTAGGCTTATAAAATTCTGGCAGGGTGGTGTTTCATAATTGTCCTATCTGTAATGAGGCAATGCAGGGGCCGAATTGTATTTATGTACACGATTTGGTAAAAGAAAAGTGATGCCAACGACACTTTACACGTGAAACGCAAAGATGCTATTTCCTCAGCCTCTCCTTCTGTTTAAACTTCTCTGGTAGCCCAACTGACGTGGCGAAAAAGGGTGTGCTCATTTCCAGTCTAGAGGCCCAAATATGCCTCATAGTCCTCAATATATATAAAAACACATAAGATGTGGATGCTGAAAATCTTCACCATCTAACTTTTTGAGCTTCCTGCCCAAAATTTTAGGTCCAAAACAGAATTAATTGAGACTCTGCCACATCCTTCATCTCCACGTTGGAACCAGGGCTTTCCCGAAACAATACATTTGTGGCCATAGCAGAGCCTGAAAGGCAGTTTTGCCCCAATATGAGAGTGATAAATGCATATTGAACTATCTGAAGAGGCCACTTCTAATCAGACGTTGACAGTATTTGTCTCTGAAAAGTTTGACCATAGCGAAGTCGCAAAGCCAGCTTTGCTGCAATACAAGTGGGATGAGATGAAGCATATTCAAAATTCGAAGAGGCCACTTCACATGAGAGGACTGTTTTTGTCTAGGTGGAGTTCGACTGTAATGGAGCCTACAGGTGTGTTCTGAGGTGAAGCATGAAGATGTTGACTATATTTATTTCTGAAAGTTGGAATAAGCTTGAATAAAAAAATTTAGAGCAAGTCAAACCAAATGCCAACACTATTAGAAAAATACTTGAAATATCAAATAATCACACACCCTTACAATTATGGTGCAGAAAACTTGTACTATGCCATTGTGAATAACTGTCAGGCATGTTTTTCATTTCTCTACGATTACGAACAACAGCATAAGCAGGAAAGTTTTTAGGGAGAAAAAACGAGGATGGCATCACTTTGGTTTGAGGTGGGGACCTGGCAGACAGAGGTCGTCGAGTGCCATTTTGAGCTATATATGCCATTACAAAAAAAAAAAATCAGAAGAATGGGGGTGTGGGAACAGGCTTTGTGTGCCACCCACTGGCTACGCCACCGATTACCACTAGCAATTGGAAACCATTTTATAATGGAAAAAATTTGAACAGTGCAGCCATATTCAAAAATAATACTTTTATAATAGGAAAGTGCCTGTAGTCAAAAAAGAATGTTTACAGAACTTAAATATTATTCACATTAAAAATCAGTACACACTTGCATTAGAACATCTACATATATTATTTCTTTTCCCTGCTACTTGGAAGGATACACGTAGAGGCTAGAATGATTTCACACCTCTAACATAAATGTAGAAGAAGAGTTCGGCTTGAAAGAACATGCCCAAAATGCAGTTTAAACTCAGTTTTTCTTCTTTTTCGCCCTACAAAGTAGTATTATTAGGCAAATTATCTGTGAGCATTGTGCCAGATTAAGGCCAGCAATGAATATTCCGGTATTTTCAGCAATGACTGCTTCCAACGTATCCTTCATGTCCATTCTTGTACCTCAACAACTTCAGGCATGAGGCATTTTGTTATGATAAATAGAGCACGAGTTAGGTGAAAAAGTGACTTGGGAGGAAAGCCTTAAGATGACGCAGAGTCGAGTGATGCACAATGCAGGGGTGCAACAGCCGAAAAGCGATTTGGAGCAATTTTAGGAGCAGCAAAATGTTACTTTTGGAGAACTAAAATCTAGTTTAGGAGCAGGTTACGGAAAAAAAAACATGCATTTTTTATCATGAAATACCGAATTTGGAGCAGTATAAAAAAGAGGGTTTATATTTAGAAAAAAAGAAATATGTATAAACCGTTGAACATCACCTAAATCGTGAATCGCAGTATGAACATGAGCACTGCTATTTCAATGATAAAGTCTATATTAGAATTTGTTGTGCTTCTCAAATCATTCGAAAGACTCTGCAAGTTCAAATACAGATCTGCCAAACTCGCGATCTTGAAATTTGGGGAATTTGTAAAACCAAGAAATAGGGTAGCGAAAAAAAAAAAAAACTGGTGCACAATTTAGTTTTTTTTCAGGGATGCACAAATGTCATACAGTGCTCCAAATGATTGTCAATAGCTTATTCAGACGTCAGTAATTACATTGGTATTAAGAATTATGCGGTGAACAAACGCATGAGTAACTGAATAAAATGTGCAGTGTCCCATGACTAGCGCTAACAGCCCCTTTCAAATCTCAATACGCTTTTCCGCAAGGCATCGGTGTACAGCAGCAAAGGTGGTTTAAGCAGCATTCTCAGCACGGGTTAGAACCAAAGCCAAGAAATTTTCTAACCGTTACACCTCCACCCCCACCCCCCCTATTCATTTCAAACCACTGTTGTTTTTTTCTTTCACCGTGGGGTAGCTGCTGCTTCTGCTCCAGTGCAAGGCACGCTTGACAAGGTAAAGTAACAACGGCGTGCACCTGTTGGCCTGGCGATGGTACCGGATATCTATCGCCAGGACCGTGTCCGGGACAACACGACTTCAAAATAAAAAAAAATGTTTTATGTGCCACTGCTAAGGCAATCAACGTGGTCGCTGGCAACGTTGGCGCTCGCAGCATGTTGAGCTTGTTCGTGTAAGTAAAACGCAGTACACGCTTCCAACTTTACTTCCAACAAGCCACAGCCGCGTGTTTAGGCTAGAAAGTTTACATTTCACACGAAGCGCTGGTGGCTACAGCAACGAATTTTTATCTTGAAGTTCTGTCGTCTCGCCGATAGGTATCCGTTGTGGTCAGCAGACCGACGGGTGCGCAGCGTTCTCATTTTATTTGGTCGATCGCGTCTCGCGATTGTAGGGCAGGTGCCATTGTATGTTCTAGGCACTATACAGTAGACTCATTAAAAGGAACCTGTAGGGACCAGTAAAATGTGTTCCTTTTAACAGTTCTGTTTACTGAGAGATGAACAGGGGCACACAACTCAAGAACGAAACCAATCTTGTCAGAAGCATTTGCTCCATTTAAGCAGCAGTTCCATTAACAGATTTTCGTTTACTGAGAGTCTACTGTACTTGGGCTCTGCGCGCTTTGACTTATGATGCAAACTGCAGGTGGCCGATGTGACATGCATTTTTCGCGGAAATCAGTGCACCTGAGGAAACTTTGAGGCTGGCTGAGAATTTTGGCAAAGCATGGCACAATTTAAGCAAATTTCGCGGTTTTGGCACAGCTGTTGCACCCCTGACAATGCTATTAGGCCTACTACTTCATTCGTTGGCTCTGTCAATAAAAATGTTAATGATTAATAGCGCAGGCTGGTAGGGAGGGGGGGGATAGATGAATGCACTATGGTAAAAATATTGTTGGCCTGGTTTGTTCATCACACTGACAAACAATGCCAGAGAACACAAGGGACAAGGAAAGTGTCCAGCAAAGAATTAGCATAGCTTACGCACCTAAAATGTACATAAACAGGTATTAAAACTGCCGCCCAAATTGGCCCTGAGAAAATTTGTGGAAAAGGCACACTCTACAGCAGGCGGCTCAAGCTCGCCTCAGCCAGTGCGATACAGGCATGCAATTTTGTCCTGCAAGAGGTGGGACTGTGAAGAAAGTAAAAGCAGTAAGGAGGGGGCGGGGTCTGCAGAAATTGCAGTCAACGTTTCCATTTGAAGAAAAGCCTTTCCCAATACTCATATACAACTCATTTCTAAAGGGTATTTGGTGCCAGGATTCCCACACGTCGACATCGATATCAAGATGACTAAAGTTTGAACGCCAATCTGAAATACTGTCTTTGTTCCAAGGTCATTTTTAAATACATGGTGTCCACACAGGATGTCTCACAAAAACAATGCTTTAGAACAGTCGTTGCTGTGTAGCTCTTGAACATACTAATTAACAAATGAAAGAAAAATGCTTGGTAAAGCAGCCATATGTGGGTTGCGGGCCATAAGCAAGAGGCTAACAGGCATCTTGTTTAGGACACCTACTATAGAGATAAGTCAGGCTCTGGAAACTTCGACCCTCTGGTGTTCTTCAATTTGCACTGACATAGCAAGCTGAAAGCTTTTTTTTGAGATTCAAATATATTCTTATTTTCAGCCTGCAGAAACTTTTCCTGAACGCCGTGCAGCTACTCACGATTATAAGCCTCGGGCACACAAGAAAGACACGACACAGCTATATTTTGTGTGCAAAATGACCTTTTGTGTCATGTACTTTTATAATGAAAATGGTGCATCACGATTTGCTGTATAAGTGGGGACTGATACGACGTGTGCAGGCCCTGTGCGAAACTACTCAAATTGACCACAACATGTGCTCAAGGGCCATTGTGTAATAGCGAAGACCATCTTGTGATAGGAGTGCTAGCGCCGCATATATGATTTTTAGTTTCATGTGATTATAATGTACAGACAATTTTTGCTTCCGTTTTCACTTTCATTTGGCCTTTTTTTTTCCCACTTTCCTTGCATTTTTCTCTCTATCCAAGCTCTTGTGTTCTACTATTCCCCATTGTACTCTAGTAGGGGAACTGAAGAACACAAGGAGAATACAAAAGGACGAATGCTTCTTGTTTCTTTCTTTGCTAATAAAGCCAGCCCTTCCTCTACCTACAAGCTAGGGGTGAAGGATATACAAGCTTTATACACTGACCTTTCTTTTCCCCATATCTCACTTCCTCCCTCCACGTCGAAATTTGCTTTTGACTTGCTTTGAGTGTTTGCGCGAGGAAGTGGTGTTTCTTTTTTTCATTTTGCCTTCTTTTATTCGGAAAATGGCCCCACGCGCAATGTTCATTGCGCACAATCCCAGTTGTTGTGAGTTGCTGTGAGAGTTCGTCTTAACAAAAGAGGCCGGTTACATAGTTCGTTTTAAGCAATTTTTTTTGCACTGAATCTATGGAAAACCAAACAAACATTCCAGTGTTCCTCTTAAGCAAGACTTCATCTTAACAGAGCTTATCTTACCAGGAGTTTACTGTACCGACACGGCTTAATTTAAACATTCTGCTGCTGGGGCCCCTTCAACTTCTCCATATCTCTTTCTCTAAAGGAAAATATTGAGAATGTTCATATTCTGTTTAGCATTTTAGGGCACTATTTGAAAGCAGTTCATCATCCTTAATATGCTTGTGTGTCATTTGTACACAATAAATTGATGTCTCTCTTATGCAGCACTATGAACACTACATTGTATGGCGGACAACAAATGCACACTTTTTGCCTTACTCCATCAAATACCTATGAAAACCTGGAAGAAAAACAAAGAATAGGATCCCCACAGCGGGAAGTGTGTAAATAGCCTATTAAGGAACAAATAATTTCACAATGAACTGGCCACGATACAAGCTCACGAGATTATTGAAGCTAGGCAACTCAACGGTGCAATGACCACCGCGGGTTCAGTCTCAATGAGCCAAAGGCCCGCACTCGCCGTCACCTTGCGCACCTAGTACACCACTGCATGTACATATGCTCAGCAGACAAAGGTGCTGAGCACAGTGCGGCAAAACAGAGTGCTATCTAGACAAAATGCACTTAATTTGCGATTGGGGCGTGCCTCCCTTGCACTGTACAACACACATTACTGGAACGGTGGGGAAGCAAAGGGGCTTCCGCTTCTCAGCGAAACACAAAAAGGGCAATGCTAGAACATCACAGTGGAAAAGTCCCTTACGGCTATGCTGCATACTCTCGTAACGACCAACGGCGCATTCACGAAAAAGGGGGCAAAGCTTTGTACAGGTAGGCTTTTGATTAGAACGACTAGAAGTGGTATAGCTTGGTGTACCACAAGGCACAGCCTTTTGTTTTAGCATTCGTAACTGCATTGATCCCAGAGCATGAACTCACCATCCATCCTGTGCACTGAAGGTAAGCCACAGTCGGAGCAATCTGAAAGGGGCTGGCTGACTGGAGGCAAAATGTGGGCTTAACTAGTGCTATCTGGGGGAAACATAAAGAGCGTATCCTACACACGTGTTTTCGGTCATATCCAGTCATATGGCTTTCAAGAAGACATCGCAACGCCACTATTAAGAATCGGCTCATGGCACATACCGGATCTTCGGGAAGTTTTTTTGGCAGTTTTATTTGAAATATCAAGACACAAACTACCTGCTTTGCTAAAGAAACAGTGCAAAAATGTGAAGACTAGACATGCAATAGTAATTCTAGTTCATTTGCAAGAAGAGACGCAGTGGAATCAGACGCAACAAATATGAACTCTTTACACAAAGTAGCTTCTGATAAAATGTGTCTTAAGAAAGCCTTAAAATCAGCAGGGGAGATATAAGACATACCCTGTGCCCTTAATTAGTCAGTTAGTACATTAGATATCTGGCTCAATGAATATTGGGTTGAAGATTCGTTGAAACTACATTTTACTAATTAGCAAGACTAAAATAGATGTAAGGTTTTACATAAACTCAATCCCACGTTTCTCTCATGTAAAAGACACACTCAGAAATGGCAATGGTTGTGAAGAACATGAATAAAATAGCTTAATTTGAGACTACAGTTGTCTTCAAACTATGACATTCGTCTGTCAACTTTTTTGTGTGCATGGTTTACACAGAATATAGACTTCATTCAAAGAAAAAAACAAGAAGTTGGAAATATCACACTATTACTTCTTTCGGCAAGCCATGACATACCTGGATTGTGAAAATTGGCGATGAAGGGAATGGGGTTGTCCATTCCTCGGAGACCTTTTAGAGAATGTTTCTGCTATTTCGGATTGATATGGTGTACTCAAGCCACCAACCTGTCTCGATGACCAACGAAATTCAGCAGTACCGCCAATGTTTTTTTTTTCACTGCATTTCGTCTGGGACAACTCTCTGAAAGAGAAGTAGAAGACTGAGCACTACTCTGCAAAACAGCTGAAATTATTGAGAGCATTGTCGCTTACAATAGTGCAATACAGATTTCATCAAACTTTCCATTCACCTGCTTTGTAATAATAGGTAGCTGATACTCATGATACACCAAAAATGCTTTGTTCTTCCATTACAAAGCGTAAAACTAAAGCTTAAGATTGGCACATTATGCTGCAGAAGGCTTGTACTAAACAATTGTAAATAACTGTCCAGCATATTTTTCATTTCTCTACGACTATGGGCACTCACACAATTTTGTGTTATAAAAAATATCGACATTCCAACAATTTTCAAAACATACTTTGATGAAGAGCCTACAGTCAGAGAGAGATCTTGCAGAACCCACCTAATATTTAGATTAATATACTAATATAATTGTTGAGGTTTAACGTCCCCAAATCACCATATGATTATGAGAGACGTCTTAGTGGAGGGCTCCGAATATTTTGACCATATGAAGTTAAAGTGCACCTAAATCTAAGCACACAGGCCTGAAACATTTTCGCCTTCATTTTTTTCATGCCACGACCTGCGGATCAGCAGCTGAGTGCCTTAGCCACTATACCACCATGGTGGGTCTAATATTCAGATTGAAAATAAGTATACGCTTGCACAAACACATACTCGCACTTTTTTCCCCCCCTGCTAGTTGAGAAGATATACTACCGTACATAGTGCCTAGAAAAATCTTAACACTCAAACATAAATGTAGACAAATTCAGTATGGAAGTAATGCTCGAATCGCAGTTTAAACTCAGCTTTCCTTCTTTTCACCCAAGAAAGTACTATTAATCGGCAAATTATTTGCCAGCCCTGTGCCAGATTAAGGCCAGCAACAAATACTCCAGTATTTTCAGCAGTAACTCATTCTAATGTCCCTATATTTTTCTTTTTTTTACCTAAGTATCGACAAATGCCTCTTCTCCAGGCCCTCTCTCATGTGCAGCCGGCATCTGCCAACATTTTCTTCCCAACTTGGGGTATTTTCAAAGCCACACACATTCATTAGCCATGCATCTTTTAGCGAACAGTAAGCTAACACAATGTGTCCTGCTCCTCCGGTCAGTGCCCCATTGTTAGTGAACGGAGGACTCGTTTCACCAGGTGCTGGAAAAGCTTTAGGAAGAACATTGCTCGAAAAAAACGAGCAATAGCCAATGAGATTCATTGATGACACTTTCATGATTGTCAGTACTTAAGAGAGAACCAGGAAAAATCTAGGGACTTTAACTGCTAACTGTTTTTTGATGTGCATTTTTGTAGCTACAAAACTCGGGTATGAGGCATTTTGTTATGGATGAAGCTGAAGTTTGGCAAAACAGTGACTTGAAAGGAAAGCCTTAAAGGGGCCCTGGAACACCTTTACAAGTAGCTATAGAATGGATCAACGAAAGGAGCCTATTGCCTTACAAATTGACCGCCAAATCTGTCCAGGATGAGCGGAGTTAAAGCGGTTTTACCCTGAACTTTACAATTTGATGCAAAATATGGGCTGTGGTGCGCTATAATACCTGGCTTATGCATTCTCAGGAGCCTCGACCACTGATTAGCAGTATTTTCTAATCATGTAAAAAATATAATGTTGCAGGGCCCCATTGAAATGATGCAGAGTGAAGTGTAGAAGGACTGAAAGCTGGGCCAGTTGGTGACAGTGCTTGAACATATTGCAAAACAGCGCACGACTATGCGACAAAGGAAGAAGAGACAAACCGCAGCACCGACTTGCAATTGAATTTTTAGTGGAAAAACATGAACGGAAAAGAAACACTTCAACCTTCACACCCATGTGACTACAGTAAGGCAAGAAAAATAAGATCAGCTGACATTTTGAACACTGAAAAATTTTGATACATCCCACGTACACTCTCCAACAGCATAAAAGTTAAGATATCGTGCTATCTAAGTACCTTACCTCGCTATTGTGTAGGAATATAGAAGGCACTCTAATGCATTGTTCGGCCCTTTTTTTTATGTTATATGCTTCAATTATTTATCATGTGATTTGATCACTGTGTGCCAATAGAACTTTTGCGTTATGGAATATGGGTGCACAATGGCACTCTGCAACATGTTGGAACACATGCGAGTTACATTCCCTTGCAAAGAACGTCTGTGTTCAAACAACCTAACGTTGATGCCTCTACTTGTTTGGCCTATGCATACACGACCACCCAAAAATGGCAAAAGATACACGATACCCTTCCTGCACTGTACAAAAGGAGTTACATGTTTGACCCCGCAGCCTTCTTGGGTTAATCCTGGCCCGCGCTTCTTAAGTTTCCATTCAGCCACCCCACAAACCTTATTAATCTTATTCAACGATGAAAAAGCTACACTTACTCTAAACGGGCTGGCAACATTCTTCAAATTATAGGATAGTCTGTGTATGTACGGAAGTATTGCTGAATCTTCAGCAGGAAATCTTCAGAAAAAAAAAAGGATGACCTTAGTTTGAGGTTTGGCGGTCCTATGCCGCCAATTTCCCATGGGTTGTCTGCCCTCCGAAGCGACTACAACTTCGTCCTGCCGAGCACCAGGCCAAAAGTGCACTTGTACCTATTTAACCAGTAGGTACCTGGTGGCTGCAATTCTATGCCTCCCACCGCAGCAGCGGATGCTCAGCTGTTTCACCAGGGCAGTGGTGGATTAAGGTACGCCCAGAAGCCTTTGCATAACCTTATGGGGCGACCTTTCGAAATGAGTACCCAGAAACAACCGAGCGCCAGGTCGGTGTACTCCTCTAGCAATTGGGAAAACCCAGTGGGTTCCCGGCCGGCACCAGGAATCGAACCCGGCACATCACATAATAGAAGTGAACACTCAAGTCATGTAGCCACTGCCACTGGCCGAGCTTTCAGTCCTTCTATAGAAAATTCTAGCATGTTCAGAAAATTTTGAATAAATACACAGCTCCCGATATTCTAAATTATATTCCAGAGTATTTCACAGCCTATATTGACAAGGATCCTAAACAAGGGGCCATTTAGCACAGAGATAGCAGGGTTTGTAAAGATTTTCAGAGCAAAAATTGAACAATATTCAAGGACTTTCCAGGACCTGTCCCGGGCTTTTCAAGAACTAAATGTGGCATGCAATGTTGAAATGCTTTTACTCTAGCATTTTTAAAAATGACTAATTTGATTACACTTTTATACACACATATCATAATTATAACAAACGTGTCTAGTCTGTACTTTATTGCACTTTAGCTTCACTAGCATCCCTTGCTTCACCTCATGTGCAACTGGGAAGGAGCCAACTTTAAGGAGCGTTACAAGTCTCTCACTTCGATTGGTCGTTGTTTGACGCAGCGAAACTTTTTTCTCCATACAGTTTTGTAAAATGAAACCATATTCACTCACGCCAAATTACTGTTTCTGAAATGGGGAGTTTGTCAGGTCGATGCCCACCTACCACAACAAGAGATTGCAATGTCGATTGGGAGGGCTCAGGAAATTAAAGGATTTTCAAAGGCGGGAAAAAATTCCAGGACTTTCGAGGGCCTTTAAATCCCTTTTTCAAATTCAAGGCTTTCAAAGACTTATGCGTACTTTGGATAAAGTATATAAGCTCATGGTTTTTCCAGGGCAGGACAGAAGTTTTGGTGCACAAACCCTATAGTAAAATTCATGACATTAGTAATAATATCTGGGCCTTTACATACCAAAACTGCAATGTCATTATGAGGTATGCCATGGCTAAGGCCTCTGGAAATTTTGACTATCTGGTGTTCTTCAATGTGCACTGACATCGCACTTTACATGGGCCTCTAACATTTCAGCTCCATCAAATGGAACCGAAGATATATGGCATTGGTTATGTTTGCCACGTAGCATGACAAAGTTTTGATGTTGGAAAAAGTTGTGCCAACTTTATAAAACCAGTTCTGTGCCAACGGGAAGTCTCATGCTACAATACTTTTTTCCTCCAGAGCTATACAGCACTGAATAGTGTCTTTCATTCTTCTTCATAAACTGGATTCGATCGATGATTGTAAGGAAGAATTGGGGACTCTTGCTGCCGCTATCGAACTGAGATGGTTTGATGTAAACATTCTGCTGCTGGTGCCTCTCCAACTTCTCGATTTTTCTTTCTCAAAAGACAAACTTTGACAATGTAGGTATTCCTCTCAAGATTGTAAGGCACTATTTATAAGGAGTTCACCCACACCTTTAATATCTTTGTGTGTAATATGTGCAAAACAAATTACTAATGTTTGTCTTAAATAGCACTACAAACAATGCATTGCATGAAGAAAAACTACTGAAAACTTTGAATCCTGTTCCAGGAAATATCGGAATGTGAATAAAAAAGAACAGAATGCCAACAGCAAGAAATGTGCGAATTGCCAATTTAATTTTACACTGGACTGACCATATTAAAAGTTAATTGGCTTGTGGAAGCCTTGTAACTCAAAGGAGCAGGCAGAGACCACCGTGGGTTCAGGCTCAGTGAGCCAGAGGCCCGCACTGGCAATCACCTTAATTGCGCACCTAGTACACTACTGCATGCATGCTCAGCCTACGAAGTTGATAAGCGCAGGGTGGCAAAACACTGTTTTTCTGTGTAGAAAAAATGCACTTTATTTGCCATTGGTGTCTCCCTAGCAGAGTACAACACCCGCTCCTGCAACGATGCCGAAGGAAAGGGCCTAGTGCTTCTCCAGCAAAATACAAAAGGGGCGCTGCTAAGACATCACAGTGAACAATGCACTGGCAGAAGAGCAAGTGTAGGGGCCAGTTGATTGTACACCGTCGTTCTTTATGGAAGGGAACGCGCGAACGCGTGGCCTGCGCTCTGCGGTGGCTGCCTACAGCACCATCAACCGACAAGTGAAGAAAGCACGTTTCCTTTTAGCGTCATCTATGGCCAAGCAAGATAACGAGTCATGGCCGGTAGACAAGCACTGCTAGATTACGTTTTCTCACTGATCGCGCGGCGAGCGATATCAGGGAATTATT